AGGGGACAGGGACAGGGGAATGGACACAGGGACAGCGGAGTGGGGACAGGGACAGCGGAAAGGGGACAGGGACAGCGGAATGGACACAGGGACAGCGGAATGGACACAGGGACAGCGGAAAGGGGACAGGGACAGCGGAATGGACACAGGGACAGCGGAAAGGGGACAGGGACATTTCCCTGCGGTTCCCAGCAGACGGGCCCGGTCCCTCCCGTGACATTTCCAGCACCTCCCGCTGCCCACCGCCGGTATCGCGGGCTTTCCGCGGCTCTTCCCCCCGCCTGTGGCCAAGGATCACCCGGTACTAATCACATTTAGCACGTTTTATCCCGTTTTAGCTGGGCTTACCGGGGTTTCATGCATTTTAGCCGGTTTGAGCTCGTTTCCTTAGCTAGAGACGTGCCCATTGTACCGGCACTTTGGACCTTCCCGAGGCGCCGGGCATTGCCGGCCCAGCACCAAGCCCGGGGCGCTGAGGGTCGCAGCAGCCGAGCCGGAGCCCCGCTCCCCCCCGTCCCCGGGCTCACGCCAAACCACACCTCACCCCCCCGGCAGTGACAGCACCCGGCCGGCGCCATCTTGGCAAGCGCTCGGGTCACATGACACCCCCCGAGCTCTCGCGATACTTTTTCCCTTGGGGGCCTCCCGCCCCCTGTTTCCCGCGCGCGCGCCGCGGAGCTCTCGCGAGAGCCGCGTGCTGTAGACGGGAAGGACAAGATGGCGGCGACAACGACGATGGCGCTGGTGAGGGGGCGATGGGCGGCGGGACCAGGCCGGGCCGGCTCCTCGCGGGGCGGGAGACAGCGGTTGCCGCCAAGGGGGTCCGCGCGGGCCCGCGGGATGGGGTGGCGGCTCTGAGGGGACGGCGCCGCTTCCCGCCGGTTCTCCTCCGTTCCTGGGCTCCCGTCCCGGCCTCCTCCCTCTGGGGAAGGAATCGGTCTCCCCCCGCTCGGTCCTGAGCTCCGAGCCCGCCGGGTCTCAGCTCCCGCCCGTCCCGCTGCCAGGGACCGCACAGGCCGCTGTTCTTGGGCCGGCGCTTCCAAATCCATTGGTTTAGAAGCTCTTTCCTGGGCTCCTGTTCCTAAACGCGCCTGCATTGCGTTTTGTGGGAGTCCTTTGTGGGCTCTGGGACATTTTTAGAGCTTTCCTGGCTGCGGCTGTGAGCGAACAGGGAATCTCCGGGCTGGTGGTTTTCCTGGGGCTGGAGCGTGAGCAGAGCAGGGAATGGGGCGTTCTTGGCTCGCTGGGAATTGTGTGAAATGGAAATCGGGAATAGCCCGGGGACTCGTGGGCTCCTCTCGTGGATCCCCACATCTCATGGAATTCTGGGCTGGAGCTGCAGTCACACTGGCACAGCAGGAATTTATTGTTGCGTTTGTTTCTTGTTTCCCCATCGTTGTTTTCGTGGAAAGTGTGGGAATAGCTCTGATTCCAGAGCAGCTCAGCCTTGCTCTAAAGAGCTGCTGCTGATCCCAGAAGGAATCGAGTACCCTGGAATTCCTTTTGTGAATTTACAGGTGTTGGTCCTCCCATTTGGGAGTAAATAAAAATAACTCTGGCTTCGTTACCTGCCTCATCTTTCCTTAATCCATCCGAAAGTTTCCCAGGTTAATGCTGGGAAAGGAGGGGGCAGGTCT